CATGAATGTCAAAAAACAGAAGTTTCTATTGATAGAGCAGTAATTCGTCGAAAAAGATGTTTATTCTGTGGACACTATAAGTATGTATTTAGTCGTGGGTATTGTACAAAACATTCATGGAAATTATGTGATCGGAACATACAAATAGTTTGCAATGGATTGAAAGTTTGTCATGTGTTTTAAGAGAATGAATTTACTAAACAATCATCTAGTTCTAGACATGCACGATATATATGTATGTTATGTTTTACATCTGAAGAAGGTCATTTGTATGAGCGAAAAGGGTGGGGTTCTGTTCCTCTATTTGATTGCACAGATCGACATTATGATGATTCTGCAAAGTCACTTCAATTTATCATGAAATGGATAAACGAAATATCAAAGTCTGCTGACAGAGATATACAATGCCTTCTTCTTCATGAAATTTTTAAAGGAGCAATGGTGTTTTTTGAAAAATTAAAATGTATCAAAAAGTTAAAAAATGATGAAGTTAGTAATGAAGAATTCGATAGTAATACAACTAAGAAAAGTAAAGACCCTAAAGATATGAATTCATATCAAGATAAATCTACAAAAGAAAAGGTGGCAATTCTGGTATCGTTAAGTTTTTTAGGAGTAAAAATCGCTTTTAGATTGAAGAAAGTCAATGTTAGAAAGTTATTAAGTAGTGAAATATATTGTAATGTAATTAAAAAAAATCTGAAACAAATAGGTGAAGCTTTGGCAACTTTACTTTGGCGTTCAAGATCGAAGTTCGTGCAAATAAGGAGAAATTAGTAATGCCTAATTCTTTGGAGGAATATCAAAATGGTTTTCTATTAGTAATTTCAAATTTTTTTTTGGATTAATAAACACAATTCAAAAAAATAAATGGAAAGTTGTTTTAAGAAAACAGAGAGAAAGAAAAACTTTTGAAAAAGACTATGATAAAACACGTGCTAAAAAAATTTCTATATTTTTTATCTCAGTATTACTATCAATTATGTTTCTAGGATTAGATATATGGTTTACCCATATTCTCAGCTCACTTTGCCAAAAGCCCCACCTACACACATCTTTGTATTCAATATTGTGCGTAGCAAACATTGTAACCCACACCAATAGATATGAGAAATATTTGGAAAAACAATGACGTGAACAAGTTGACATAAATAGTAAGTTATGGAAAGGAAATAATATATGGAACATTTGTATGGTCGATAATATTAATCTTCAAGAAAGTACGTTTAGCTACAACAATATTTTTGATATACCACGAAAAACAGCCCATGCTACACTCCGAATAGTAGCTCAATATCAACTTCCACAAAATATATCAAATCTTATAGAATCCTATAATTCAGAACTTTCTGTTTTTCAAGTTGGACAGTCAACATTTATTAACAATGAAACAAAAAAATTACAATCCGTTTT